AAACATTTCGACGAATTAGGAGAGATTGGATCGCCTTCGGTTAACACAGTAGCCGAGTAAGAAGTTCCTTTCCACTACATTTAAAGAGGAAATCATTTAACCAATGCGTCCTCGTGGCATATGGCCCAGAAATATAGACTACGACTAAGATAATAGTTAGGAAACTAGTAAGTGCCTTGGGAGGAATGGGCTCAGAAATATTGCTCAGAAATATAGACTACGACTAAGATAATAGTGAGGAAACTAGTAAGTGCCTAGGGAGGAATGGGAAGGAATGCTGGCCTAAGAGACCGAAGGAGGGCGACGTGGATCAGGGAACAGACCAAAGTGGAAGAGATACTTAGGAGCATTAAACAAGGAGACAGGAGACAGGACTAGAGAGGAACATAGAGAGTAATAGATTAAGATACGGCTGACAGAAGGGGGTTAAGGACCAACAGACCAGTGACAAGATGGCGCGACGAAATAGCGAAATTCAGGGGCCCAAAAATTTTAAATGGAGAGCGCAAGACGGGGAAAAGAATGAAAAAAAAAAGATTGGGAGAGGCTTAGGTCCTGCAAGGGAATGTTGCAAGTTGCAGGTTGATTGATTGGTGAGGAGGAGGGGGAGCAAGAGGAGGAGTAAGAGGTGGGGGAGGAGGAGGAAGAAGAAGAAGAGGAGGAGAACGACGAGCAAGAGGAGGAGGAGGAGGAGGAGAAGGAGAAGGAGGATGATGAAGGAGGAAGAGAATTAGGAAGAAGAGGGAAAATAAGAGGAGAGGGAGTAACAAGAGGAGGAAGAGAATAAATACACAATATCCGTATATATATATATCTATGCGTATCTATAATTTTCACATCTTTTCGACTACCAATAAAACAACGTTAAATAACCAAATGTATCTAACGCCAAAACAAACCCTCAGATAAGAATCACAAGACACCACGCTGAAAATTATTAAAACAAATAACTCATTTGACCAGAGACTTCTCGAAAATCACTCATTAACACTTGCCTTTCACTACCATGGTTGGGGAGGTGTGGCCGATGGAACGGCGGCTGCTACACTGAGCGGAAGATGTGAACAGCTGTTAGCCATTTACATTTTGATTATGTGTTTGAGTGCGTGTGTTCGTGGTTGTGCGTGTGTGCCTGTGTGTCTGTGTGTTCAAATGTCTTATTCTGTCTGTCTCTCTCTCTCTCTCTCTCTCTCTCTCTCTCTCTCTCTCTCTCTCTCTCTATATATATATATATATATATATATATATATATATATATATATATAGAGAGAGAGAGAGAGATAGATAGATAGATAGATAGATAGATAGATAGATAGATAGATAGATAGATATAGATAGATATCCCTCCATCCTTCTCCCTCCCTCTCTCTCTCTCGCTCTTCTCTCTCCTCCCTCTCTCTCTCTCCTCTCTCTCTCTCTCTCTCTCTCTCTCTCTCTCTCTCTCCTCTCTCTCTCTCTCTCTCTCTCTCTCTCTCTCTCTCTCTCTCTCTCTCTCTCTCTCTTCTCTCTCTCCTCTCTCTCTCCTCTCTCTCTCTCTCTCTCTCTCTCTCTCTCTCTCTCTCTCTCTCTCTCTCTCTCTCTCTCTCTCTCTCTCTCCTCTCTTCTCTCTCTCTCTCTCTCTCTCTCTCTCTCTCTCTCTCTCTCTCTCTCTCTCTCTCTCTCTCTCTCTCTCTCTCTCTCTCTCTCTCTCTCTCTCTCTCTCTCTCTCTCTCTCTCTCTCTCTCTCTCTCTCTTTCTCTCTCTCTCTCTCTCTCCTACATTGGTTCAGTATAGATACATGACAGAGGGTAAGCGGGACACTACATAAGTTATTTCTTTTTCTTTTATTGGCTAAAAACTTGTACAAAACATGTTTCTGGATGCTGTTCCTTCCTCCAAAGAAACAGGGTGTTGTTCTTAAGAATCCAGTATGTCAGAAAAAGAATACGAGACTCTAGGGAAAAATACAAATCGTTAAGCGTGCGTGTTTTCATGTTATATATATAGAATCGTTTCATGAATATGCTAATTGATAAGTTGATTAGCCAGGATTTACATGTATGCATATGTCCATGCTTCGTATGTGGCAAATACAATGAAGTGTAAGGTTATGTTAATCATAAATGAGGGTGCTGTATAGACATTAAGAATAATGTATATATGTATATGCGTGTGTGTGTGTGTGTGTGTGTGTGTGTGTGTGTGTGTGTGTGTGTGTGTGTGTGTGTGTGTGTGTGTGTGTGGTAATTACGCAAGTTCTATGGCGGAGAAACTTCTAAAATCTTTCTCCGAAGACAAACTATAGTCCAAAGGCGCCCACACCTGCAGGAAAAAAAAAATGTTGTTTACAAAAAAACGGGAAAAAAAAGGTTTATTAATGAACGGATAGATAGAGATGGAAGCTATATGGATGGATAACATTGGTTGGTTATGAGTTTGATATAAAAAAAAGTATCCCTGTACGTATGCATCAAAGTGTGTATGTGTGTAGACACATGGATACATAAACTCGCTACCGGGG